TCTCTTGCCCATGTTTTCCTATTACGTTTTAATAGGGCCTTATAATCTCTTACCAATAGCAACACGTCTGCCCTCCTGCTCTAACTTGTTAGTGATAGTGCATGTCATGATCTGGGTTTTCCATAACTCCTCGTTGCCTTCCTCCCTCAGAAGTATTGAGATAGTTATCAAGGTTGCATCTACTCATTGTCTGAAGGCCCCGACTAATTGTGTTCTACTTTTTGTCTTTCCTCCCAATTAGGGAGTTCAGATTCATTGAGAACTGTTATCTCTGCTTCTGAATCGACTATGACAGAAAGTCGACATGCTAATGTGAGATTAGCAGTGGGCCACTGGGCCCATCCCAAATGACCACTTACTCTGCAACAGGTTGGTAAAACCCGTTCTCGGCTTGTCAGATGGCTAGGAGGGCAAAAATTTGAGTGGGGAGAGCGTCGGTAAGTCGGCAGGTGTCCATCAGAGACAGGAGACAGGTTTAAAAACTACACAAGCATTTATTTATATAACTAAGCTAGGATACATAGGTTAAATGCGATTACATAAGTTCACTGTACAAAAGGGACGCTCTAATAGCTTTACCTGCTAGTCTGAGAGAGAGTTCACAAAGCTCTAAAAAGTACAAATACCTCTATGTGGATATGTCTAATATGCGTTAGTTGAATATGTTCGTTAATGGCGATAGAAGTTCAAATAGCTGTGGTTGGTCGTATGTCCTTTCGGTCCGGAGTATGGAGACAAATATGGCACATCTACCAATTACAACTTCCGAGGGATCGCCCGAAGCTCTCGGGGACTCGAGCTTTTATACGTTATTCGTGGGAAATGAGTCAAGTGATCGACTTCTATTGACACTTACGGTGCATTCCGATTAACTAACTGTCAACTTTCCCACCATAATGTGAAAACAATCGGTGACCTCCGGTATACTTCTCACCAAGAGTGTTTTTTTTTTCATCGGAATTGTTTACAAAGATTTTTTCGACATCGGCGTAAAAATCGCAAATTTCACACTAACTTAATTGTTTATCCGCATTTCTTTGGTGACGATCAGTTGTATATCCATACCCTTGCGACTAATTATTCCCCTGCTTCCATTGTCTTTCGATTAAAACGAATCGTGCCTGCTTATCCCATTTAATTGCCTGCTAGTTAGGACTGTTTCTTTTCTAATGTCTTACCTTTCCACAGGAATAGAAGCTAGCTCTGAGCACACTTACTCGTATTTTTGACCGTTAGAGTGGATCTTCTCGTTGCCTCTATTTGAGGATAGATAGATCTGAAGATCCCATTAGTTTCTATATTCAAACTCTTGTTCAACTGATCACTATTAGTCATTTTGTCAAATTCCTCTATGTACAGTACTTAGCTATCTGTTTGGGCCTGCCCAATTTTTTTTCTTGTAAGATCATGTATTTTTTTTGTGTCTGGGACTAAGATGGATTTTAATCTCTCTACCATCTATATAGTATCTGTACAGGCATCTAATTGAAATGCAAACTAGGGCCATGTTTTTTCTCTGTATCGTTCTGCCGATTTAAATCTCTTCAGGTATTAAGAAGGAGAAAGTTTTAACTCTTCGAGAATAAACTGTTTTAAAAAAGGACAGTGTGTAACCTAATCTATCTTTAACCTCGTTAATGCTGTCTTACATTTCTCTGAAACAATGCTTAGCACGATCTGCCCTTCTGGAACCTTGTAGGTCTCCAAAACCAACTCATCTGCTCAGAACTAAGAAGGTGCTTCCTCTTCTTTTTCTGGAATTTTAGAGTGTGCTCATCTTACCATATATGTATAATCGTCAAAATTTTCCTTGACGATATTGTTCACAGAGTTCCAAACCTCTTTACACAGTTTTTCTTGCTCTATCTCGATTCTCGCGAGTTCAACCTGCAGCATCAACTTTTCAAGTTAATGTAGTGATTCTTTCCATGTAAAGTTTACCTTCTCTCTAAAGGTCCAGCCACCTTCACTAAAAGACTGATCCCCGTGCCTGTCTTTGTCATGATCTTCTGATATTCCTGACTTGTCCCGTTTTTCCCCCTTTTCCTTAAGTTTTGATATTATCTGCACTGTGGCATCTCTGTGAAGAAAGGAAAGACAATTTTCCTGAGAATTTGTCTGCTGGTGATTCTCTTCGGGTTGCTGTATTTCCATCTTCTCATATCCCATATCTTGGGCTTAATTTTTGCACTAATCCGCGATGTCTTGGACCTGTTTTTTGAGTCGTAGTTCAGTCTTTCTAATGAGGATCTTTTACGCTTTCGAGAAACTATGCAAAATGTCTTTTCAATCCTTTCCAGAATGTTTCTCCAATACTGTTTACTGTGTCAGTAAAGTTAAAATCATGCCATACAATCTGGTCTGTCAAAAAAACACCTTAAAACTTCTTGAACACAAATAAAGATTGTTTATTTAACACTATTTAAAGAAACACACAGCATTTTATCTTGATTATATCTATTGTAGATTTGTACAGATATACAGAAGTAATAGCTGGTTGATGAGGAAATAGGCTTTTCATTTTTCAAACAATATACTGTACTTTGAAAAATTTTTATAATCTTTTTTGCTTATATTTAATTTTAGAGTCGAAGTAGTACATTCGTATCATAACTAACATAAATCTTAGCAAAAAGATGTTTCTCAATGGTAAAAATGAATCACTTCTGTAACAATTTTTCTGCTAATGTTACATTGTTCTTTAATTTTCTTTCCCTCTATGCAATAAGAGTTTCCTGCAAAGACAAGGAAGTAAACTTATCTGTCTATTTTGTCTTACCTCAGTTTGTAGGAATTTTCAAATAGACATAACATCAGACTGTAAAAGACTTTTAAGTTTAGTTATTTCGTTACCAGATAATCTTGCTTTGTAGAATGACTGTGCTCAAATTCTGTCAAATGTTTCTTCTTCGCCTTGACAATTTGGTATTGTACATATGGTATCTGTTAGCGGTGTGTAGTCTTTACATTTGGTACATATAAAAATGATATGTTGAATGTTATATGTAACACTTTGTGATAATGTTCTTTACTGATATCACACTAATGTTACTGTGTAATTTTTCTGCGGTCAGTAGGTTTATAGGAACACTTATCGTTAATGTCTAAACAAAATTTTAAAAACACTATTGTCCATTCATTAAACGAAAGATAAACTTTAGACGTATAATTAATTTTGTGACCATCCTTTTCTCGCTTTTGCGCAAAGTAGGGACAGTTAGGCCAGCTCAATTTGTAACTGGATGACGTTTATTCGTAGTTCAAAGTAAGATCGAAAAACCTTACATTTATTTTCTTTTCACGCCAGTTAGGATAGTAAGAATTCTCGTCCTAACTAGCAAGTATAATTATAATTCAATTCATGTCAAGTAGGAATGTTCAGTATTTCGAGTGGGAAAATCTATCTAGAGTTTCAGCAGTGAGAGTCGGTAGGTTTGTCGATAGGCGACCAGAAATCCAAGAAAATATAACTCGAGATCCAGATAACAATTAATAACAGTTTAATAAATACATAGATGTTAAACACAAAGGAGATTAAACGATGTCTACGGCGATAACCATTTAAATTCATTGCGAGAGATAAATTCCTCATTTGCAAGACGAAGAAAGAGAGTTTACAATAAATGCATAATACCTCGTGTAGACAAATACTTGTCTTCTTGTAGTGTTGAGACAGCATTGATGTAGTGGCTGGGGAATTCTCTAAAGCGTATTCTCAGAGGAGATACCAATAACGTTTCGATATGACGAGAGCTAACGTTATGGATGAAGAAACGAACATAACACAATTAATAAATAAGTAATTTAATATTTCAAGCTTACCGGCTAGAACAAGCAGCGATACAAACAATCAAACATGGCGATCTGCGGCGACAACAGCGCCGCCACTAAACAAAACAAAATGAGACCTTACATACCAGAGACAAGTCTGTCAGAAACAGAAAGGTGAGTGTCTGTCTTGAACTTTCGGTCTATGGTTCTTTTATCTCGAAAAGTCCTTCCAATTCTGGGGTGTAATTCTCTCACGAGATGTAAATCTAATGCTGCTTCCTACTTGCAGCTGCGTGCTCTACGCACAAGGAATGATTACTCAACAGGAAAATGATATAAACAACAGGAGATACTTTTTTTGTCACTATGTTAATTATATCACAAGAATGTTACCTGAGCGATTTTTCTCTCCCACGTATTTTTTGTTGTTAAGTTCCATCGAGTCGTCTTCGACTCCTGGTGACTTCATGGACAAGTCTTCTCCATCTTGATCTGTCCCTTGTTGTCTCTCGTAGCTCCTCCAGATTCATTTCTGTGACTTTCTCGATTTCTTCCATCCATCTTATCCGTTGCCTTCCCCTCTTCCTCCTACCTTCCACTTTTCCCAGCATAATAGACTTCTCTAGGGAAACTTCTTTACGCATCACATGTCCAAAGTAGGTCAATTTTTGTTTTAAGATTCTTGACTCTAAGGAGAAGCTTGGCTTAATTTTTTCTAAAATTGAGATATTTGTTTTCTTTTCTNATAGAGGTTAAACACAAAGGAGATTAAACGATGTCTACGGCGATAACAATTTAAATTCATTGCGAGAGATAAATTCCTCATTTGCAAGACGAAGAGACAGAGTTTACAATAAATGCATAATACCTCGTGTAGACAAATACTTGTCTTCTTGTAGTGTTGAGACAGCATTGGTGTAGTGGCTGCGGAATTCTCTAAAGCGTATTCTTAGAGGAGATACCTATAAGGTTTCGATATGACAAGAGCTAACGTTATGGATGAAGAAACGAACATAACACAATTAATAAATAAGTAATTTAATATTTCAAGCTTACCGGCTAGAACAATCAAACATGGCGATCTGCGGCGACAACAGCGCCGCCACTAAACAAAACAAAATGAAACTTTACATACCAGAGACAAGTCTGTCAGAAACAGAAAGGTGAGTGTCTGTCTCGAACTTTCGGTCTTTGGTTCTTTTATCTCGTAAAGTCCTTCCAATTCTGGGGTGTAATTCTCTCACGAAATGTAAATCTAATGCTGCTTCCTACTTGCAGCTGCCTGCTCTACGCGTGAGGAATGATTACTCAACAGGAAAATGATATAAACAACGAGAGGTGCGTTTTCTTTTAGTCACTAGCTTAACTATATCACAAGAATGTTACCGCAGCGATTTTTCTCTCCCAAATATTACTGTAACAAAACTATTGTTTCATGCCTCCAGGCTCTCACAGTTTACTGTAATGTGAAAAGTTATCCGCTTCATGACAAAGTGAATTCGACTGTAGACATTTGCATAGAAATCTGACCTGGTAATAATTTTATCCATTTACAAAAAATAAACAGTCATTGAAGCCCAAGTCAGACTTACACTCAAGTCAATTTCATTGAGTCTATATGATAATATATTTGGTAATGTTCGACCGGAAATGATTTGTATTACAAGTGCTGTGCCAAAAATCTATCAGGCAGAAAAAAAACATAGATACTAATGACCAGAGTGGCTTTTTGATAAGAGAAATGCGGCATTTGTTATATGGCATGAAGTTTCATAGTGCCATTTGAAATGAATTTTTCTTAATCTCGGCGTGCAGTTCATGTTGATAAAAGTTTGGTGTTTCTAACTACGTAAGTGTTGTGCACAAGGTTAACAAGATTAGTAGCAAGGATAACAAGATTTCCTTGTTAACCTTGTTAGTCATTTTGCCTAACTTGTTTAAATCATTTTTTGAAGTAGATGATGTTATATCTGTTTGTTTTGGAATTATATCGACCCACGGATTCTTTTTTTTAATCGTGCTTTTAAGGCTAGAAGGAGATTTATAAAAAGTCAATTATTGAAAGTTAATAAATGATGTTTCTCAGGAAGTTGGAATGTGTCTTGGAAGATTTTATTTTGTTATAATCCAGATTTTTTTTTGTATTGCAGCAATTGAAAATGATAAATTATATATCCGATATGACAAAGTATAATCGACTGTTGTTTTTGGTTATACTAAATACAGTTAATTCCCCAAGATAAAAATAAAATATAGTTTCGGTAAGTTATCAAAGAACGGTTATAGTTCTAAGTCTACGTTTTCCACTATCAATGTAGAGTCACCTTTTACCATTGCTAAACTAAAAAATGTTTGATCTATAGTTATGTTGATAAAAATGTTTATTTCGTTTTCAGAAACAAAAGTTTCCAACGTGCGCAATGAATGAATTAATCATATACAATATTTACACCAAATTTAAGTATATGACAAGAAAGGCGAAAGTAGTTACATTAGTTTTTCATCTGATTGCTTCCTACAGCCATGTGATCTACCGAAGTAGAGTATAAACAAGAACGTTGTAGTTCCAATTTACAGATCTAGCAACTTTTCTAGATATGGGAACTGGAACTGTAATGTTTCATATGCTCTTGCCTGTAGACAAGTGACTAAAATCAATACACACTGGTAGATAATGCAGGCTCTTAATTTACCAAACAGCTATCCACGTAATTTCTCTTTGTTTTGTACGGTATCTGCCATCAGTTTAACAACCAGATTTTTATCAAAAATTATTATTGGTAAATTTTTTTCATAAACTTGTTTCGTATTGATTTCTGAGAACTTAATTCAATGTAACACATTTTCCACTTAGCAAAACTTGTATATTACGGAAACTGTACTATCAAGTATACATAATGGGTAAGATTTAATAGCAGTTGTATCACAAATTTTACATAGTGATATTTCGTACTAACTTTCTTATACGTATTTTTTGTGTTATGATGATACAGATATGTAGATTCATAACGTACTTTTCTTAATTCATTTTATGTCAAGAACTGATTCCTGCATACAAAAAATAATTCGAGAGAAATTCAAATCGTGTAACGTGTTGACAATAGCCCATAGATTACATACAATTATCGATTCAGACAGAATACTGGTAAGTTTCTTTTGTTTATAATATATAATAATTTGTTTTTATTTACGCATTTGAATCTTATAGGTTTTAGTTAATGGAAAACTTGAAGAATTTGACAGTCCTTATAAATTACTGCAGAATGTAAATGGTACTTTTTATAACTTGGTAAAAAACACGGGAGTTACTTCAATGGATGAGCTATTTAAAATTGCTGAAAATAAATTTTATATTCAAGAATGTATCAAAAGAACGAGATTATAAAATAATAGATTTCTCTCGATATATATTAACCTTTCGTAGATTTCGTGTTGTTTTTATATTAACCACTATTCGGAATTATCTTTTTTAAATTCAGTATGTACACGTCATCCAGGATACAACATTGTTAAAATCTTTAGTAAAAACTATTAAAACTTAAGTAGTATTTGTGATTCCTATTCGTAGATTTCGTGTTGTTTTTATATTAACCACTATTCGGAATCATCTGTTTTAAGTGCAGTTTCCGCATGTTATCCAGGATACAACATTGTTAAAATCTTTAGTAAAAACTATTAAAACTTAAGTAGTATTTGTGATTCCTACTGTTAAATTTATAGGTGTTAAACGTTAATGTAATCAGTAATTTTTACTGACGATATTGTTAAAAACCTTTAGAATAGTTTATTTTTAGAAAATAAGTAAATTTTAAAGAAATACAGTCGACCCTCCTATAACGCAGTAGATACCTTCCACTTTGTAAGAATTTCAAGTTGTAGAAATCCTTAAATACATGAGTCAATTACAGCCCGGCACGTGTACAGTTTACAGACTACGATTGTTTGAAAGGTTTTCTTCCATAAAATTAATTAATTCTAGACTAATTTGACTGAACATTTTCATATCATGTATAATTTTTGGGAATAATCCGTATAAACTATGCTATAAATAAAAAATTGTAGGATTACTTACCGAGTGTACACCGTTCGACATTGCCATTGCTTTAGCTTGTTTTCGTCGCGGAGCGGCGCACCAAACTGCGGGCGCGTTTTCTGATAAGTTATTTTTCTGCAAAAAATTCGTTGAACTTTGCAGACATCACTAATAGAAATAATTTTAATGGCCGTTGAATAAGAAATGTTCTTTTCACAAGAAATGTATAAAATTACAGTACTGTATTAGACTTACAGTACCTAATTTATATACTGTACAGACGATAGTAAACTCAACTTACCCACCTAAACTCTCCGTAGCGTATAAGTAGTTCGGCTGCTCGTCTATTATTGGTCCAGATTCCACCAATCCTGTCGTGACACGAGACGGCGATGACGTTTTACCGCATTTTACGAGTCTCTTTTAGCGTCTTTATACGAATACGTTCGCAATTTTTACGTGATATACGAATCCGCATTATATAAACCCGCGTTATAGGGGTTGACTGTATAAACAAGAAAAAAATAGTTCTAGAAATTATTAATATGCCTTTTTGTCCTTTTTTTTATAACTCTATTTAAAATTTATTTTGTATTACAAGTACACCTGGTGTACTAAATAAAGAATATTATTTTTGAACTGTAAAACTAAATATCTGCATCCATAATTCCAGTATAATAAGTCTTGTTAATATATAGATTGTACTTGTAATACAAAATAAATTTTAAATAGAGTTAGTTTTAGAAATAGTTTATAGCAACGTTTTGAAAAAGTGTCGTTGGAAGGCCTGCTGAAGAGGGACGAGCAAGTCCGAAACACATGTTTAAAGTGTATGTGTTCAGGTGAACTAAATAAAGAACATTATTTTTGAACTGTAAAACTAAATATCTGCATCCATAATTCCAGTATAATAAGTCCTGTTAATATATAGATTGTACTTGTAATACAAAATAAATTTTAAATACAGTATATTAATCACTCTGATAAGAAAGGCGACACTTGTGCAGTTTAGGCGTACGATTGTTTGAAAGGTTTTATTCTATAAAATTAATAGATTCTAGACTAATTTCACTCGAATATTTCCTAAACACGTATAATGTTTTTGGAATAACTCATATAAAATATGTTATAAACAAAAAATTATCGAAATAATAACCGCGTGTACTNACAACTTTAGAATGATAAATTAATTTTGATAAAAAACTCCCATTAAAAAAACATTAAGCCTTAATCGAGCCTTATCAAAGGCTTATTAAAATCGCGATAAAATTTTTTCGCGCGGGCAAAAAATTTTGAAAAAATTTGAGGACTTAAGAAACATTCCAAAAATTAAAAAACAAAATTGGGGAGGCAGAAAGGACCGCATGTTTTGTAACGCTATGAAACATGCCCGAGTTACCTCGGGACTGGACGTTACGGTGTGTTTTGGGATGAATTACACATAGTTTATGAAGTATTACAAGGTCTTGTATGAAAAAGCGATAATGTAAATTATTGTAATTTTTATAGATAATGTGAAATAAAATTATTGTAGAAAACTTTATAAATCTTAGTGACATTGATAACATATTATGAAAATTTAAACGTTATTTAAGACAGTACGATTGTAATGTTTGGTACCTGTTTTACATCTGACAAGCTGTACTATGAAATACGTTAAATAACCTTTATTTGGTTATTACAATGAATTATATCATTTCAAAAAAAATTTACTGTAAATTATATTACAGTAAACTTTTTAGCACAAATAATTGTAGGGAAGAAAATCAAATTTTATTTTCTTTACCAAAAAAATCTAGCAATTCATTGTATATTTATTCCTGAACAAACACAAGATAAATTTACGCTAATGAACATTCGTGTGATACCATCTGTACAAAATATTGTAAAAAATAACTTATATTATAAAATGGAGAATGTTTATTTTGAGAGTAGAGATGGATTTTATTAGAAAATTGTAAAAGCTGATAACAAGTAATATCTACAATAACTTTACACCAAATATGGGAAATTATAGGTCTACCATCTGGCTAAATTGCAGTTCTATTATTTACCAAAGTTTCAACCTGATAAACAATTCAGAGTTTTGGTATGATTATTAAATAAAAAACTATCTAATTATAAATAACATTTATAATTATAATCATTAATTTGTCAATTATGTTGACAAATTTGACATCCCTTTTCACTGGTGAACCGTAATGACGATTTAATAGGACTATTAACTTTCTCATAAAGTAGAAAAAATTTGATTTTTTTTTCTAAAATTATACATGAAAAAATCGNAGAAATGCGTTTAATTTTGAAGAAAAATCTTCATATTTTATTTTCCTTTCTCTCTTATTTCTGTGAAATCTGACACTGATCAGTCATTGTTTACACAGCTGGATGACCTTGAGAACAGCTGGAGTCAGATTTCTCAGGACATTCTCATAGAAGTCTCGGAAGGCGATAGGTTTATAGTAGGGTGAATACTAGTTGGCCCTATAATTTTATATGTTTTTAAAAAATTAAAATTTTTATTGCGATTCCCGACTTAATTATACTTATATATACTAAAATATATTAATTAAAAAAAAATTAAAAACTATTGGCGGTCGTTTTTGACATCAGAAAGTAGCTTGAAATAACTTTACCGAAGTCAAATCCGTGCACTACAACTTTAGAACGATTAAATAATTTTGATAAAAAATTCCATTAAAAAACAATTAAGCCTTAATCGAGCCTTATCAAAGGCTAATTAAAATCGCGATAAAATTTTTTTGCGCGGAAAAATTTTTTGAAAAAATTGGAGACTTAAGAAACATTCCAAAAATTAAAAAACAAAATTGGGGAGGCAGAAAGGACCGCATGTTTTGTAACGCTATGAAACATGCCCGAGTTACCTCGGGACTGGACGTTACGGTGTGTTTTGGGATGAATTACACATAGTTTATGAAGTATTACAAGGTCTTGTATGAAAAAGCGATAATGTAAATTATTGTAATTTTTATAGATAATGTGAAATAAAATTATTGTAGAAAACTTTATAAATCTTAGTGACATTGATAACATATTATGAAAATTTAAACGTTATTTAAGACAGTACGATTGTAATGTTTGGTACCTGTTTTACATCTGACAAGCTGTACTATGAAATACGTTAAATAACCTTTATTTGGTTATTACAATGAATTATATCATTTCAAAAAAAATTTACTGTAAATTATATTACAGTAAACTTTTTAGCACAAATAATTGTAGGGAAGAAAATCAAATTTTATTTTCTTTACCAAAAAAATCTAGCAATTCATTGTATATTTATTCCTGAACAAACACAAGATAAATTTACGCTAATGAACATTCGTGTGATACCATCTGTACAAAATATTGTAAAAAATAACTTATATTATAAAATGGAGAATGTTTATTTTGAGAGTAGAGATGGATTTTATTAGAAAATTGTAAAAGCTGATAACAAGTAATATCTACAATAACTTTACACCAAATATGGGAAATTATAGGTCTACCATCTGGCTAAATTGCAGTTCTATTATTTACCAAAGTTTCAACCTGATAAACAATTCAGAGTTTTGGTACGATTATAAAATGGAAAATGTTTATTTTGAGAGTAAAAATGAATTTTATTAGAAAATTGTAAAAGCTGATAACAAGTAATATCTACAATAACTTTACACCAAATATGGGAAATTATAGGTCTACCATCTGGCTAAATTGCAGTTCTATTATTTACCAAAGTTTCAACCTGATAAACAATTCAGAGTTTTGGTATGATTATTAAATAAAAAACTATCTAATTATAAATAACATTTATAATTATAATCATTAATTTGTCAATTATGTTGACAAATTTGACATCCCTTTTCACTGGTGAACCGTAATGACGATTTAATAGGACTATTAACTTTCTCATAAAGTAGAAAAAATTTGATTTTTTTTTCTAAAATTATACATGAAAAAATCGGTATAAAAAATTTTTAAATTTGCTTTAAAAGTGCTTGATCGGAGCACCAGCGCGAACGTTATTTTATTATTGTTCTATATTCTGCAAACAAAAAATACAATCAGAAACTATATATAAGAGGAGATAACATAATAATGTAAGTATAACCGTAAAAAAATATTTTATTTAATGAGATTTCATTACATAGACTTATTTGTAAATAATTTTGTTTTGTAGTGTTCATAATTATTTTGTATTTCTGCATTCAATAATTCGTTGTAGGTTGATAACACATTTTATATGCGTTAACTCTACAAACGTAAGACACAGGATACGAATTCACACATATTAACAAATATGGAAAACGAAATTTTGTTGTTCCACTATGATTTTTATGTTATCTGCTCTA